GCTAGTTCAACCTATTAATTCAGAAATTATTATATAGTTCCAAATTATGCGGTCTCACTGGTCTACCAATTTCTACACACCTTACTATTTTTATTTTTATTTTGTAAATTAAGACCAACATTTACGTAGTATGATACTTAACTAATACTAACTCTTTTTAAAAAATAAAAAATAAAAAAAAATGTGATTCACAGTGAGAGACCAAAATATAATTTTTTGTCTCAAACAGATCTAACTATTTAAAAATATTGGGAGTTATACGGTTTTGTGGCGAATTGAAAGTAAATGACCTGATACTTTTACAGGGTAGTGACCATTTTGCTGGAGAAGATGGTAGTGTTTGAGCACGGCAAAAAACGACGCAGACATTGGCCAAAACGACGCGACGGGAATGTTTGCCCGATTTGCAACGCGAACGACCCAGAAGAGGTAAGTGTCGTATATGATTACTGTTGGCGGCGGCTGAAGGCGGTGGAGTAAGTCTTGAAAGGGAGCTTCCATTTTGGTCATCACGGCTTCGAGGAAGGCGACGAAGTCGTTGGCTCGACCGTGTTCGGAGGGAATAACGTTAGGGATTGTGGCGAATCGGATGTTGCTGGGTTTGGGTTCGGAAGCGATGAAGCCCAGCCATTCTTCGGTGACTACGAAGGTTACGAGGATGTCGGGGTTGTTGGACAGAAACAACTTGCAGAGGTTCATCAAGGGGTTGACGTGGCCTCGCCCTGGGTATGGCACCGCCACAACATGGGTGGCGATGTTTGGTGGAACTTGAGTTGGATGGTGCATCGTGTTTACGGTTTAGGAAAAGGGAGGAAGTGATCCAAAGTGCATAGGAATTCTGGAAAGGTAAGAAGAGGAGGGAAGCTTTTATGTCTGGCATTTCCTTTGCTACAAGTTTATTTCATAGGGTACCCATATCCTAAGTGACTAATACTGTATAAAGGATGACATGTGTTAATTTTATCAGAAGTTATATTTTTTAAAAATATTTTAATATTTGTTATTTAATTTTTATTAATTATATTATTTTAAATAATAGTTTCCAGTTTATTTAAAGGTGACATCTCTCATACACTACTTTAACAAGTACTACATGGTAAACCATTAGTTTTGACCATAAGATTCATCTAAACTAATAACTTATAATACTATCAGGATAAAAATTTTCAAATTTTCTACTGAAATTTTTCTTTTTAAATTACTCAAAAAAAAAACTCGTATTACGAAGAACTGGAGGAACTGCTACTCACGTTCGGAACGGGCCGTTCTGATTTCAGAACAGGTCGTTCCAAATGAAATAATAAGACATGAATAATAAACCAGAACGAGCCGTTCCAAATAAAAAAAATGCATGAAAAATGAATCAGAACTGCCTGTTTCGCAATCAGAACTGGTCGTTCCGAAATCAGAACGGCTCGTTCCAGATTCAAAAATAAGACATGATTAATTAAAACAGAACAGTCCGTTCTGAATTCGGAACGGGCCGTTCTAACTATATATTTGGGCGCTGTGTAACAGACATGCAAAACGCAGACGTAGGAGACTCCTTGCATCATGTCGGTCAAAGACTGACGCGAACTTGGCAGATATAATATTGCTCAAAAAATAGTTGGGACAAAAATATATTTTTTGTCCCTTATATTATTTATTAGTGTCAATTTGGTCTCATTTTAATTAATTGAATCAATTTAGTCTCACATCTTTAAAATGTATCTCAATATTTGACCTTATATTTTTTTCGTTTAAATACTTAACAGATCTGACACATAGCATGATAACATGACACGTGTCATGCTACCATGCCATATATCATGTCATCATACCACGTGTCATTTTAATGGTTTACCATCTTCTCCTTTCATAATTCACATGTCCTCCCTATGCTATTTTAATGGTTTATCATGGGACAAAAATAACTTAAAATGATAATATATATATATATATATATATATATATATATATCCAATTTTTTTCAACTTCTCCTCTGCTTTTTTCTCATTTGTCTATTTTTTTTAAAAGGTGTAAATTAATTAATAGGATAAGGTATATCAATTGATTAGAAAATAATTTATACAAAATTAAACTTTAACAATGACAAATAAATATATCAATTTTCTCCTAAAAATTAAATTAATACCTAAAAAAGTATAATGAATATTCTTTTGTTTTTCTGAATGCTTTTCCATCCTCATATTCCAATTTTTGAGATTGAACCATTTGCAATAATGACTTTTTGTATAAATTAAATTAAAAAATTAAAAATATACAAAAAAAAACATATTATCGTTTTAGGTGATTTCTATCACGTGACAAACCACTAAAATAATGTAGAGGACATGTGAATTCTAAAAGGAGAAGATGACGCAAGAGGTCCCCTGCTCCAATGTTTTCTGAACACTACTGCACCTGTCACGTCCGTGTCAGCCTTTAACCTACATGATGCAGGGGTTCCTGCGCTTTACGTGTCTATTACATGATGCAAGGGCTTGACTGCTCCATCCATGTCACTTATATTATTTTTATATCATATTTTAAATGCATATATTCGATTGTTATGTTAAAAATATATTTTTAATTAATTCCTATAATATATATTTACAAATTTCTATCCAAATCAAAACAATTATTCATTCTAACAATTAAGTTTCTAACAACTTTTAAAATTATTTAAAATAGTTAAATTAAATTTTTAACAATTAATTTTTAAAACAGTTAAATTTAATTTTTAACAATTATTCTATCCATTAAATTCTAACAATTAAATTTTTACAAACAATTCAATTCTTATAGAAACTAATACAACTTTATTAAAAAAAATTAAATTAACCATCACTCAAATAATATACATTAGATTCATCAAAATTATTATTATATTATTTAACTAATCCAAATAATTCAATAGGCCAAACATTTTAATTAAAAATATTTAACAACTAATTTTAAAATAATTACAACATAGAACAATATTTAAAACAATAACACAATTTTTTTTAGAGACATATAAACATAAAATAATTATATTAGTAAGATAACCTTTTTTGTAAAAAAAATTTATCTATTTTTTCGTTTCATAACTTACTACAAAAATCAAATTTAATCAAATTATATTAATTAATTTATTTAAAATAAATAAAATCTACATATATTTTAAATAATTTTAACAATTATTTTTAAAATAACAGATAATTATTTAATATTTATATGCGAGTCAATTATTCTAAATTTAATTATTATAAAAAAATATATATTGTTTTTATCAAATTTTAAACACATACATTATATTTCTTAAATTTACAATATATAATGAATTTTAAAAAATAAAAACTATATACTTACTTGTAATCAATTTGCAACAATAGATGGAGAATTAAATTTAGTTATCTAACATGCAAAATAACACAAAAAAATAATAAAAAACAAATAAATAAATAAACAAAAAATTATATATAAAAAATTCTAACTTACAACATATGAGCAAGGAAGAAAGAGGTTAGAAATGAGCAATGAGAGTGAAAATGAATTTATAAAGGGGGAATGTGGGAGAAGAGGGTGGGGCGCTGTGTAACAGACATGCAAAACGCAGACGTAGGAGACTCCTTGCATCATGTCGGTCAAAGACTGACGCGAACTTGGCAGATATAATATTGCTCAAAAAATAGTTGGGACAAAAATATATTTTTTGTCCCTTATATTATTTATTAGTGTCAATTTGGTCTCATTTTAATTAATTGAATCAATTTAGTCTCACATCTTTAAAATGTATCTCAATATTTGACCTTATATTTTTTTCGTTTAAATACTTAACAGATCTGACACATAGCATGATAACATGACACGTGTCATGCTACCATGCCATATATCATGTCATCATACCACGTGTCATTTTAATGGTTTACCATCTTCTCCTTATTTTACTTAAAAAAAGGTTTTATGCAAATATATAGTTAGAACGGCCCGTTCCGAATTCAGAACGGGCTGTTCTGTTTTAATTAATCATGTCTTATTTTTGAATCTGGAACGGACCGTTCTGATTTCGGAACGGCCAGTTCTGATTGCGAAACAGGCAGTTCTGATTCATTTTTCATGCATTTTTTTTATATTTGGAACGGCCCGTTCTGGTTTATTATTCATGTCTTATTATTTCATCTGGAACGGCCCGTTCAGAACGGGCCGTTCCGAACGTGAATAGCAGTTCCTCCAGTTCTTCGTAACACGAGTTTTTTTTTTTTGAGTAATTTAAAAAAAAATATTTCAGTAGAAAATTCAAAAAAATTTATCCTGATAGTATTATAAGTTATTAGTTTAGATGAATCTTATGGTCAAAACTAATGGTTTACCATGCACCACTTTTTAAAATGGTGTATGAGAGATGCCACCTTTAAATAAATTGGGGACTATTCTTTAAAAAGATATAATTAATGAGGGTTAAATAACAAATATTAAAACATTCTTAAAAAATATAACTTTTGACAAATTTAACACATGTCATCATTTATGTGGTCATAGTTACAGAGGATTTTGGTGCCCTCTAAAATAAACTTGCACCAAAGGAAATGCCTTTATGTTTTTGTTTAATGCAATGATTAAAGGTGTACACGGTACTACTTTTGTTGGCATTTGATCACATGTCACATATGGTGATGTGTCACACTGTGTTCCTCTAATTAAAAACAGACGACAATTAAAAAGATGAGTACGTAAAATTTAAAGAGAATTTCTACGGTACCCATATTATTTGGGAGGGTACCGGTACAGTTGTAATTATAATTTTGTTTTATATTTTATATTTTTAATAATTTATTTAAATAATATTTATGATATTTTATTCTTTAAATTTTTAAATCATTTAGTCATTTTATTTTTATTTTATATTTTCTAATTTTATTTGTAATAATATTATTATATATTTAAATAGTTTAATTTTAATAATTTTTTAAGTATATTTTTTGTCTTTTCACTTAAAATTTTTAAATTTCTATATTTTAATTTTAATAATTTTTTAAGTATATTTTTGTCTTTTTTTTTTTAATTTTTAAATTTCTATATTGTAATTTTAATAATTTTTTATTTTTACTATTTATTAATTCTTTTCTTTTTTAATGTTTTATAACATTATTGAAATCTTATAATTTTATCTTATTTTTCATTTTATAAATATAATTTAGATTATTCATTTTATAATTAAATTAATTTTTTTAAATTTTTATAAGTTTACATAAAAGAATGTATTGAAACCCCTCAATCTTTGAGGGTACCGTAGCAACTCCTAATTGTCACATCAGTTCTGGTTCATTTTATAGGTTCTGTAAATTTTAGTAGAGTTGCTTGTAGAAACAACTCTGCTAAAATTTAAGCAACCCATAAAGTGGGCCAGAACTGATTTAATAGTGATGTGGCACAGGAGTTGCTTATAAGCAACCCCCATTGGAGATGTTCTAAGAGCACCTCCAAGGTGCTTATTGTGTTGCTTAAGAATAACTAATAGTACTTACAAAAAACTTTCATTAGAGTGATTTTACGTGACAACCTAGTTGCTTAAATTTTTTTCTCTATTACTTGTAGAAGGAACAGTGCTTAGCACTAAGAAATTTAAAAAAGAGAAGTATGATTGGTTGATTTGAATCTAGGTGAAATATGTACAGAGCAGACCCCCTAACCAGCGCGCGCGACCCCACCGTCCAAACCACCCCCGACGCACGCACAACCCCAAACCAGACCCCTCGTGCGCGGCTCTACGACCAGACCACCCTCCACGCGCACAAATCCTGACTAGAACCCCTCGCGCGCGGCTCGCGACCGGACCACCCCCCGCGCGACTCCCAACCAGAACCCCCGGCTTGCGCGCGACTCACGATGAGACCTCCAACCCCGCGCGCGCGGCTCACGGTTGGAACA